TTGAGTTCATTTCCAGGTATTTTTTTATTCCCCAAATCTCTTCTGGGGAGGTTTTCCTGACTTCTGCTGGGTTACTTTCCTCTCCTGTTTGCATCATCAGGACTCTAGGTTTACCTTTTTAAGTGAAAAATTATGACTTATTTTTATTTATATCTTTAAGGCATTAAAGATATAACATTATAGTGGCTGTTGCATAGAATGTATCCTGTGAATACTTATTGAATTGTTACATCAATAAGTGAAAGACAGTAAGCATACAGAATTGACTTCAGTGCTGCCTTTGTGTACCAATTTATCTCCCTGGTAATTTCCTGAATTGGAAGAGTATAGAAGCCAGCAACTATTATAGAAATCTGTACCTAAACTTGAACTGAATTATCCCTGAACATTTTTGTTTTAACAACAAAAATTTCATACTGCATTAAGTTATAAAGTACTCTCACATATATCATCTCATTTAACTTTCACAACATCATTGGTATTTTACAGATGAGAAAAATGAGTATTACAGAAGGTAAATAAGTTTCCCAAAATCTTGAAGCTAATTAAGTGACAGCTGGCCCTGTAATTTTCATTTTCTGATCCTAAATCCTGTGTTTTTTTTCTACCATTGCATAGCCTGTTTATTTTGCTCATTATGTATTTATCTCCTATAGTTTGAAATTTTTACCACTATTATCCTTCATTTTTCTTTGCATGTATTTATTTAGTGATTTATAATTACACTTGCAAAGAAAATTTTGAATGCGTACTATGTGCCAGGTACAATGCTATATGTTTGAGGAATATCTTGGGCAAAATGGACATGGCTCTTGTGTTTGTGGAATGTGAGGTTTAGAGAAGAGAAGAGACTTTAGACAAATAAGTACGCATATAAATATATGAAGAAAATTTTTATAAGTGCCAGAAAATGAAAGGCACCCGATAATATAAAAGAGGAAACAAGGTGAGGCTTCATTTAAAAAGTCATGAAAAGTCTTTCTGAACAAGAAGCATTTACGCTGAGACTTGAGGTAAATATTGAAATTAACCAGGACAAGAATGCAGCAAGGAGCCTTGGATACAGAAGGAAATCTGTGCAAAGGCCCTGAGGTGAGAATGAGTTTGAACAGCAAGAAAACAGACACAAGGACAATGTAGGTGGGAAACAGAAATCAAGCAGAGTAGAGGAAGACCATGCTGGTTTGTTAGGCAGGGGTGAAATGATGCAGTGTTGAAGGCCATGTTAAAGATTTAAATTTTTATTCTAATTGCAGTGGGCAGCCTTAAAGATTCTAAGCATGGAAGGGAAATGGCTGGGGTTTTTAATCTTTATATATTTTTAATTACTTTGGCTGTTGGGCCTCAAAGAGAATAATTATGGTTTCAGATAGCAAGCAGATTATTCTAAATGTATTTTGGAAATAAACTCAAAAGGACTTAGTGATGAATTGGAAAGGGGATGGGGTAAGGGTTAAAGATTGCTCCTAGGTTATGTCTTGGGTTCCTTGGTGGGGAAGGTTGAGATGGGGAAGATGAAAGTGAAGAGAATTTGAGAGAATGATCAAGAGGCAATCTGAAATGCCTGGGAAACAGCCAAGAAGATAGTATGAATCCAGAGCTCAGAGAAGTCTGAAATGTAATTGCAATTCTTTATCCTTTCTCAGTAATAATTGGCAAGAAATCAACATTGACTGCAGCTTTCCCTACCCAACTTACACACAAATCCAGAATGCAGAACAATGCCTGGCACAAAGTAGACTTTAAATAAATAGTTTTAGAATTATTTTATATAAGAAAAATACTGAAGCCTAGAGAAGGCTAAGGAACATACAAAGATGAAACAGATGGTCAGTGGCCATATTGTTTCTTTAAATCTGATATTGAAATCTCCATTTTTCTATACTTAACAACTGAAATGGCAATCATTCTTTTCAGTAATTGTTTTGAAGATTTTATTATGTCCATATTTATATATAAATCCCATTCTAGATTTCCTTTTCTTCTATATTCATGGTTAATCTCTTTAAAACTAATCAGCAAATATTTTTCTTTCAGTAAATTTTATTGAATGAATTTGCAATCTTTAATTATTACTGATGAGAAAGAATGGCAGTTTTACTAGAAGCTTTGAGTCTGACATTTATTTATTTATTTATTAGTTCCAGGTGTACAAAACAACGTAATAGTTAGACATTTACACCCCTCGCAAAGTGATAACCCCTTCCCCCATCTGACATTTATTTTTGATTGTAGAGAACTAATTACAAAACTCTGGAGCAATACAGATTAAAAAAAAATTTTAGGAAATGCATTTTATCAAAATATGGGGAAAATCTACAACTTTATTGAAAAGAATTATAGCCAAGACCATTTTTTTAAAAGTGCTTCTTTTTAAATCATGCTTTTGCATGTGAAATGAAACAGCTGTCTTTGCTTAAACCATCAGTCTGTATTTGCAATGTTTCCTAAAAAAGAAACTGAAGATAAGCTTTTCTTTTTTTAAATTTTAATTAGCTGTTCAGATTCAGATATTGAGCCCCCGGTATTTATAGCTTCTTTAAAAAGAAAACAATTGTGAACATAAACTAACATGTTTTTCTCAGGAAGTAAGCATGAGCTATTTATATGTATTTATAGTAGCACATGTGTTTCTATAATATAACCTATGACTAAAGCCAAAATAAGTCTTCATGAACCATCTCCTCCCACTCCCAGCTCCCACCCACTCAGTGCATGCTTCTGACTGAGAGTTGTGACGTTGGCATACTGCAGCCATTCTCAAAGTAGAACTACTAAGAGAAAGAGGGTCTTCTTGCATGGGTTTCCCAGATTGTGTAAGCGGTGTTGCAAATGATGTGCATGGCCACTCCTAAAGCTCCTTCTCTATTTTCTTTTTCTGAGCAGGGTACATTCACATCTGGCTCATCTCTCTGAAGACCAATCTAACTCTTTATGACTTTCCAAAAACTATATGCAGCTCAGACTTCTGAGGGACATAGAGAACTCTGGTCAGTGAAGGTTCTCGAAGCCACTGAGGGTCAATGAGAGCCTTGGAATTCTTTACAAGGTGATGCAAACACTTAGCAGGGACACCATATCTCAGTTTAAATATTAATTGAAGGATTAGTATGTCCATGAAAAATTAGGCTTGTCTGAAAAGTGTGTATGGGGTAGAAATAAAGACAATGTAGTATGGAAGCTCCAGGAAGATAGATTTTGGCTCGGTACAATGCAAGGCATTTATTCAACGAGTAAATAAGCAGTGAGAATATTCAAGTACAATCAAGATGGCCACTTAGAAGATATATTGCAGAGGCATGTAAGTAGGGGAAATAGACCAGAGTTTATTTTTATTATTTTATTTTATTTGTATTTTGTCTTTGGTCACCAAGTTACATATAAAAGTGTGTAACATTTTTGTTTCAGTTATTATACATAAAACATATGTGTCATATATATAAATAATGTCTTTTTTAAAAAGACAGTTAAACTTACTAGCTTTATGCACTGTTTTCCATCATATCCTCTCGTCTTTTAAAAATGGCTGGTCGCAACCCATTAAATGATTTCATAATTCACTAGTGAGTCACAACTTACACTTTCAAAACCACTGAACTACACAATTTTAATGATTGTTCCACTGCTGAGCAGAGGAGATAGTCATCCTTTTGTTTACTAAACTTTTATAGAGCTAGTTGTTGCTTTGTTGCTGTTGCTCTTGTTTTTGGTAATTGTGTATAAGAAAGACTTTCAACATAGTCACCCTGGAATGATAAACAACCCAGTGCTGCTGCCGTCACTATAATCATTTTGGAAATTACTTTTTTTTAAATGTCTCCGGAACTGGATTGTAGACCCACATAAAACTATCTCAGTTGTTTAGACCAGGCAGACATTTATTCATTCATTCCTTTGATCCTTTATTCAATAAAAATAATTTTATTTTGAAAGCCTCACATCCATTTTGCTGTGTCCTCAAGAAACAAGTACTATATATGCTTATTAGCCATTTGCCACTCCCCCAAACATCCCAAATTGTTCCCTCATGCATTTATATAGAGCAAATGAGATAGGAGATGGAGGACCAAGGTAGTAAGAAGGAAGCCATGATAGAGGGCATGATGGTGACATTGGGTTTGGGGTGGAGGTCATGAATAGCCTTGGGCAAAAGGTGACAAAGTAGATCTAAACAGACACTCAACAGGTACCTGTTCCTGAATGTATGGGATGAAATACTGGCCTTCAGCTAATTTACTATTTGTTGATACATGAATATGAGAATCCCTAAAATTTTGGGGAAATGGCACAACTGCTATAAAATCTAAGCTTGTATGTCTATAGATAAACCTGCTTTTCTACTCAAGCATGTCACACCTGTTTTTAGACATCCTGAGAAGAAGAGGAAAGTAGCATTTAGCAAACTCGTGTGTTTCAGGATCATTCAGAGATGAGAATTCAATCAGAATTTATGGATTTTATGTCTCAAATGAAGAGGAAATGGATCATGGTCCCTAAACCTTGTCTGTTTTTGTTTTAAACATTGATCAGTTGGTCAATGGTTATTGAAAAATACTGACTAAATGATTACTGAACCCCTTAGAGTAGATTAACTTTCCTATAATTTTATTTTTAAATAAACTTACTATATTATCCTTTTTTCTTTCAAGGTATAGTATTCTACACATGCTCTCAAATCTTGTTAAATAATCTAGTTAATTATGTTCTTAGTTTTACTGTGCATTAAATAATTCTTCTAGTGATAAAAAATGGATTCAGTTGAAATGTTGGCAGAGCCAGGGCATCTGTCCTATCCTACAGGTTTTATGACCAGAATGGTACCACCATATTTATTTAACAGATTAGACTCAGAAAGGTGAGGACATTTTCTGAGGGCCGTAAGCTTTTTTTCAGGTGGTTGAGCAAGGGTTAAAGCAAGCCAATGGCTGCTCTCCTGCAACTGTGGGTGGCGGGCAAAGTTTGTCTGGAGTGTCTCAGACTCTTCCTTTTGTTTCTTCCCAGGTAACAAATGCCTTCAGTTCCATTCAAACTTACTTTCCAACAGGATTGAGAAGCAGCACTTTTCACTTTAAGGCAGGTGAGAACAACTTTCTGTGGTACCTTTTAGAGACCGTATTTGCTTTTAAGCCGCATTTCTCTCCTGGCCCAAGGCGGACTTTCAGCTTCCTGCAGCGAATGAAAACACACAGCCCGCTCTCCTTCCTGGACATAATTTCTACTCAAGTTGCTTAATTATTGATCTTTACAGGATTATGCGCCTGACCAAGGGTAGTTATTAATAAATCACGAAGTACACGTTGAGGGCATATGAAGTGTCTAGCATGATGCCCACTTGGTTTTGACTTTCAAAAGCAATGTGCATAGCCCGATGGTGAGTTAGGCTCACTTGACCTCTGGTGGTTCTCGGTCTCCAGTTCCCAGCTCATTTCCAGCGTTCTGTTTGTCTAACCTTAAAGTCACTGCAGAACGCCGAGTTCCTGGATGTTCCTTCGGTCCAATCAGGCTCCGTGTCCCAGAGTGTACTGCAGTTCTTGGCATGTTTGTTCACCCCGGCTCCCAATCCAGAAGGAAGTAGGGAAGCACAGCCAGGGGCTGCACCCTGAGCAGCTGCGAGGTTAACCGCTCACTGGCCCTTCCTGCTTCTCAGTGAGCCCCAAATCCCTGGGGCTGGAGCAGGGGTTCAGGCTGTGCAAAGAAACGGAATCTGGCTGTTCTGGTGTCCTCACCTTCCTTCCTCTTTGTACTCCTGGCAGGAAGTCACTGATATAAGATGACACTTTAAAAAAAAAAAGAAGGGAATAATAGAATGCTGCCTAAACCTCAAGCATAGTTCACAGTTTTCTACTTGTTTAGAAGCCAGTAAAACTATGAAAGATGACATCAGGTCATACCATCTATTTAGAAGGCATTTTGAGAATGGCCTTGTTATTGAACACCTTACACACACATGCACACACACACACACACACACACACTACCACAATTATTGGGTTTTAGAGATGAGAGGAGTTGCAGTCTTTTAGAAAAGAGATGTGGAATAAGGCAGAGTACTGGGCTGCAGGGCTAAATCCATCCTCTCTCTGCAAGTCTGCTATTGTTTCTCTGAAGCCTCCGTGGCTGCAGTGGACCTGTCGGGGCCCAGGGCAGGCTGCCCCAAGATTTCCCACAGTGTCATATTGATTTTTTTTGGAATTAAAACCACTGGAGAAGCAGCAGAAGCGGATGGAGCTCTCTGACTCTCCTCTGTCTCTCTAAATGCAGGAAATAACTCTCCATGTGATAGGTGCCCTTATTACAAGAGTTAAAAAAAAAAAATCCAGAGTCGAAAAAGCCTGTATAAACAAACCTTGTAGCACTTTACCAATTTACTACCTAAGCCCAAACCTGGCTTAGATTTCTTTCTAACGATCACTAACTTTGTCTTGTACATTCTTCACAAATGTTATATATATATATATATATATATATATATATATATATATATTATAAAAAGGTGCCTGATTTGATTATTTCTGTGAGCCTCATTTTGCGACCTGAGCATCATATTGTGATTCTCCTGTGCACATGTATTAAATTGTTTTTTCTCCCGTTAATCTAGTTTTGTGTTTATTTTATTACTATGTTTTATATTTTTTAAGTTGTTGTTGTTTGATTATGTTTTCTTCAACTTGTATGTTAGAAAGAATATCCTCACCATGAAATGATTCAGGACATTTCTATTGAACACCTACTGCATAGCAGACCCTGGTCTAGATACTGGAGCTGTAACAATGATAGAGACCCTCACTGAGTTTACAACCTGGTGATGCTAAATTCACAATAAACAACATAAACAGCAAGCTAAGTAAACATATTATTATTTTGTGATAAGTTCAAAATTCTGCTGACAAACACACATACTACTTCATTTTAGCTTCTCTTTCCCGCTATTGAAACCTTATTTGAGACTAAAATAAATTAATTGGCATTTTCAAATTTCTGCCGAGAAATCTCCTTGGCCAAACTCTACTTCCTTAGGTATATTTTCTATTTTCCATGTACTGTAGATTATCGTGTTGTCAAAATTTCTGCCATTTTGTAGCACAAGTTTCTTATTCTGCAGCATCCAACAACTTTTTCACTGTCTCTAGGGCTTATAGTCACCAAGGACATTGTAGATTTTGCCCACTACATAGTCTGAAAGAGAATACCACATGTTTTAGCTTTACCTTTTGACAGCACACCAATTCCAAGCACCTCTTTTGGTATCAGGTAAGGTTTGATTAGGCAAACAAAACTAAAAATGATATGGAGTAAGGAATGCATTATAGAAATTAGACCTTATTCATTTATGGGAGCTGGTGAAGAAGTCAATGGAAGACAATTTACTCTGACTCTGGTGTTGGGAATGAAGTTCCTGCAGAACCGTAAGACCAACAGTCAGGAAGAAAAACTAGAAGTGAACTGGGGAAGAGTGAATATGAACTGAAACATTTTGGGGGACAAGTTGGAACACACAAGAATAAACTGCAACCCATATCTTCCTCTAGTTCTGACTTTGATGACAGCAGTGACCTGCAATTGGAACTTGTGTCCTTTTCCACAGAGCTACACATGTGAGGACTCGAGAAGCTGAAAACCAAGATCCTATGGAAGCTGGAGGAGCTGCAGGCCCAGCTGCTGCCCATGCCCACAAGGTACGTCAGCAGACAGAAGTCACAGTGTGAGATGCCATGCACCTGACACCCAGCACCTTTAGAGTGTGATGGCCACTGTATCTTTCCTACTTTCCAGACAACAACAACAACAAAAATGCCTAAACACAAGGTGATTGTGCTCTGAAGGCAACAGGAGGAGTCACATTGATTTAAATCTGATTTCTGTAATCATGGTTCACACAACGCATGTTTTATTATGGGACCAAAGTCGAAGAGGAAATGGCATCTCTTAACGCCATGGTTTTCTCTCCATTAATAGTATAACGAAGGATTTGCATTTTATGGATTTTTCAACTTTTGTTTTGGTTAGCAAGCTCGGGGTTAAATTGTGCTGTTCAGTTTTCTTTATTATCTTTGGTCAGTGTTTCCTAGCTTAATAATGATTTTCCCTGCATCATTGCTTTTTGAAAATTTTTATCATTATTTTAAATTGTTTTTTTTAGCTGAGCCATCCTGCCACCTGTTGGCAGCTTAGCTCAAGCCAGGCATCGAACCACTGTCGCTCAGAGCTCAACCTCTTGAGCGAGCTCTTAACCAACTGAGCCACTCGGCCGGCCCTTAATTTTTTTAAAATATTTAATTGTGTAGTCCATCTCAAATAACTTCTGAAAGTAGGTTGAGTGTAAATATAATGTGTTTGTGGTAGTTGTCCAGCTGCTGCCAGGCTTTTTATTTTCTCTCTCTCCCTATCTATATCTAGTTGACTCCCTTTCTCACGCTCTCTCTCACTGTCTGTCTGTCTGTGTCTCTGTCTCTGTCTCTCCCGTGAAAATCTTAGTTCTTAGAATTGAGGAGAAAATCATGGATTAAATGCAGGTGTTCTCAGATGATTTTTCAAGGGAACAAGGTCTAAGGGCTCATTTTCATTTAACTTTAACATACAATGAGGAAGATAGTGGAAAACTCTCGGAAAAAATAAGATATTCAGTGAACAGCATAAGACAAAGGCCTCCGTTTTTGCCAACCAGTCTTCAGCTTTTCCTTACCTTATACAAGTGTAAGTTAATCACATTATGCAAAACCAGGAAGAAAAAAATATGATGAATTTTAGATTTTCATTGAGAATTAATAGTCTGATACTTTCCATAAATTCAGTGCCATCTCTTGAGTTCCTAATAGTGCAGCACATGACGAGATAAATTGCTCGTGACTTTCAGCAAATTACAGAGTTTTACCAATCTTAGAAGCAAAGCTGAAACTTGTGACATTTTGAAAGTGTTCACACGGCAACATGAAAGAACACCCAATTAAAGTTGAAGAAAATGACAACCATGAACCTACACACAGTTCATGTTTCACGTATGCAAACACACCCCCAACACACTCTTTTGTCATTTTGCACACATTTCTGCCTTACGTGCATCTAGCTTCCTCTAGCCAAGAAGCAGTAATGTAAAAGTGGGTCAACAATAAGCACACACCACTGTCTCTCTCCCCATCTCTCCCTCTCTCTCTCTCCCTCTCTCCCTCCCTCTCTCCCTCTCCCTCTCCCTCTCTCTCTCTCTCTCTCTCTCTCTCTCTCNCTAATATTCATTGTAGGATTGTGAGGTAGACATTTTTGTCCTTTATTTCAGATATTCTCAGGCATGTGGGAAAGTAGTATATGTTCGCTGGCAATATTTTATAAAATAATTTAACTAGGAAAAAAATTGTGGAAGATTACCTAGACTGTGGTGCCTTGCTTTGCAAAACATCCTTTCTTGACATCTCAGATCAATTTGTGAGCCAGGAGTGTTTTTAATAAGTAATTATTATCTTCTAAAAAGAGTCTTTAATCATTTACAGGAAATTTTAGAGTTCAATGAATGCAAAATCAAAACCATTGCCAACTTTTGAAATAATCTTAGAATGTCTAGCGTTAAATGTTTACCATATTTTTATCTGTCTGGCTTTCCAAAGCTAAGAAAATTTCCAGGTTTCTCTCAGTTATCACAATAATGTAGAATGTTTATAAAAACCTAAGCAGAGTAAAGTTTGGCATTATATTTGGTTTCTAAACAGAAAGGTCCCCAGTACATATGTGCATAAAGTCTCCTTGAGATTGACCTAGCAATGGAGAATAGTTTCAAGGATAAAAACAGAAAAATGTTTATTATACTCATTCCTCACTGAGAATATAAATGAGTAATGATATTATTATTAGACCCCTTTGATTTGGATTTTTTTTCTCCAACAACTCACATTTACTACTGTTTAGTTTCATTTTAAAGTCAATGTGAATTCAGATGTGAGGAATTCAGATGCTTTATTCATGTGAAATTTTTGCAGTGATTTATATACAAACTCCTCAGGCAAAAAGTAAGATGAAAGCACTTTATTTCCCACTTAGAATTCTTTTCCATAGTTCAAAAGTAAAATTCTTTCTTACTACAGTTATTGAATTTAAAGCCACTTCAAATCCTTGAAAAAAATCATCAAAGAGGTACTCTCCGCTTGGACTCTGTTCCATCCTCCTGTAGAAGTTGCTTAGACAGTAGGTTTGGAGTCTCAGAGGCAAAAGGGGATATAAGAAACTAACCAAGATGACTAGAACAAGAGGCACGTAGTAGATAGTTTAAGTTGATTTCTGTGGTGGGTTAAAAGGTAGGAACAATTGGACAGAATTGGATTTTGGAGAACTTTAAAAACTAACATTTTTTTTTAAATGATAAAAAGTTAACTTTTTCACGTATCAATAGTAAATCATTAATATGTTCTTGAGAAGTGAAATAATCCAATACATGTAGTGCTTCAGAGAGTAACTCTGATAGCAGTTCACCAATTGAATTATGTGTTGTAGAGAGGACACATTTAGAGTAACCCACAACTGCAACAACATAGGCCTGTGTAATTAGGAGGAGGAATGGACATGGAGATAAGTTTGAAAGGTAATTCAGAATTTCAACAAAAAGATGAAGACTTTGATAGGAATATGCACATATAAGGAGATAGAAGAATAGGGAATAATTGCAAAGCTTCCAGCACCTAAGATTGAGAAGATAGTGGACAGATCAAGACCACTGGGAATGTGTTTATCATTTGCATTTAGATTTGAGTGAGGAATACCAGTTTGATTGGGGCCTGTGGAGTTTATGATGACCATGGGACATCCAACTAGAAGTATTGAACAAGTAGTGTGAATTGTATAGTAGTGAACTATCTAAGAATAGTGATGGTGGCTAATTCTCTGAGGGACTTAGACTGAGAGAGAATAGCAGAGGGAGCAAGAAAGATTTTTAGTGGAAAAAAAAAATGTGCCATGAAAACCAAGTGAAGGAATAGGAAGAGAAGTGGGAGGAGAAACAGAACAATGTGATGCTATGGAACCAGAAATAAAAGAGTTTTAGGAAACAGATGGATACTAGAGTCAAACTTTTCACCTATGTCAAGGACATGAAATTTGAGAATAAGTTACCTTGGATGAAGCAGTTGAGTTCCATGGAGTGGTTAGGATGAAAGTCAGAACATAGCAGTTGGGAGTAGAGTAGAAGACATCTACATGAAGGTGCTGACTATAGATCACAGTAAGAAGTAAGCATGGATGAGAAGAAACTAGAATTTATGAAGTAGGTTGCAAATACAGAAATAGCAGGGTCAACTGAAAGGGTTTATTTTAGGACTTGGGATCTTGGGGGGCATGGAAAACCTGTTGAATCTGTGGTGGAGGCTATACATTTTGATTTACAGTCTTGTAAGGTGGCATGATGAGCCTGATAATGGCTCCAATGCTGTCACCTGATTTCTGGTTTTATGTTCATGGCTTAAAATGATGAGTTTCAAAAATCAGCTCACATTAATAAGAGAGAAAGAAGAAATGCTAAAATACTCTTTGTAGTCAACTTCATTGTAAAGGACAGCCTCANTCTCTCTCTCTCTCTCTCTCTCTCTCTCTCTCTCTCTCTCTCTCTCTCTCTCTCTCTCTCTCTCTCTCACCTTTACATACAGTTTATTTTTTTGTTTAGTATATTATTGCTTATTTCTTCAGGTTCAATGAGCTAACTTTCCAATCTCATAAAATTTAATGGATTTAATCTTTTTTATTGGGTACCTTGGTTATTTTTTGTGTGTGTGGCACTGCTCCTGAGTGAAATTTGACTCTCATCTGTCATTTTGAGAGTAATCTGTTATTATGAAATCTTCCAGTATCTCTTTGTTGGGTCTTGTGGATGTTGTTCAGGGTTATCTGTCAAAGCTTCTGGCATGCAAAGTAATAGCCAGTAGGTTCAACTACAATAATTTTCAATAATTTTCTTTATCACTACACAAAATTTTATTCAAGGACTTTAAATGTAAAACACAGTCATCTGAGTAATAACCGGATGGAATCACAGGATATAACTTTTCTCAATGTAGAAAAGAAATGGTGATTTCATTCTTAATTTAGAGAATGTTTAGGCTGTATGTGACCTTTTAGTTTCCAAAATTTGAATTTCCGTGTCCTCTTTATAATTTGCATAAAATTTATATATTGCAGAGTCTTGTTCTCACATCAAAGTAAGTTTTAAGATTAAAAGGTTTCATCGTCATTAAGTCTCTCTCACCGACATGATATGAATTGCCAATGCTAAGACAAAGTGGGTTTCAGCTCAGGAAAAAGGATCTGGGAAACACAGACAAGAATGACTTTTTCATTCTGAAAAAAAGTACAGCTTGTCCTATTTCAAACTTTTTAATATACTTTTTTATCTTCTTGAATCAGAGGAGCAATTTCTCTGTGGTAGTTCACCATGAGGGGTCTGATCTGATTTTGATTTCACCCATCAGGAAGTGCCACTGAGTTTCAATAACTAGAGTTTTATTGGGTTTCATTATGTAGGCAACATTGATTGAATTATTGGCCATGTGATTCAACTCAATCTCTATTCCCTCCCCAGAAGTCTGGAGGTTGGGCTGATCTCACGTGGCTCAAAGCCACAATCCTCTAATCATAAGGTTGATCTTTCCAGAATGGCCAGCCTCCATATTGAAACTATCTACAGCTTCCCCACCGTCACTTCATT